AGTTTAAGATACTGAAAAAGACCAGAAAGTGCGAAAAAACCTCAAATGTTAAAATTCGCTTGTAAGTTGCTCAGAATTTTTTCCACAACTGTGTTGGCACCGCCTGAATAATGTGTATCTCTATCGAAAAAATGCTGAACATACTCAGTTATATTCTCATCTGTAAATCCGATGATTTCTAGTTTCGTATCATACGGTATTGAAATAGTCAAAGGACGAGAAGTTAAATGGTGAGGCTGATGCTTGGTTAAAGACTCGAACAGAAGCTGAAGTCCTTCTGAAATGTGTTCAACAAATTCATCATATCCGTCTAATATCCACAGCACTTTACTTCGATCGCACAATTCGTTGAAGCGCTGTTTCTGTGCTGAGTTCAGGGGTTGCGATGCAGAGTATTCCTTGTCCACTAGTTCGGCTAATGAATAGTCTGAATGAGGAAAGCGACTTTCTGTTAATGTTCGTAAATGGATAAGTACGGCTAAATTGAATTCTGTTCAAACTTCATGTTTCGCCCATCGATAAGTAACATATTGGCAGAAGGTCGACTTGCCGATGCCAGCTCTACCCAGAATAAGAGCTCTTTTTGCTTGATCTTTGGATTTTTCAAAGATGTTATTCATATCAATTATTGTCTTTGTCCTATAAATCTGTTCATTGTGCTGATAATTTGTTCTCTAACTTCGTACCGATCTTGTAGAAATATTAAATATAAATTAAATGTAAAATTTAATTTATGTAAATTACTAAAATGTAATAGTAAACCTCCTCCTTCCCTGTATATACGAGAAGAAGAAGAAGTGGTTTGAATTTGAAGATTAATCAGAAGAAATCTCTCTGTATAAATGTGAGAGAGAAAAGAAGAAGAAGAGAAGAGATTTGAAGTTGAAAAGTGACAAGAATCATAAAAGAATCGAAATTTACTTTCAGTTATGACTTGTTTTTCGTTTTGTTCCCCGGAAACGACTTGTATTAAATTAATAAATAATAAATAATTTCTTTCTTCTATTATCTCTCTTACTAAATCCGCGAAACTTCGAAGTTTAAGAATTTCTAGAAACTGCGGTCAACTTAAGCATGGAGGATAATGTAATGGCGATAAGCCGTTAAAAAATATGTCCGTCCGCATAGGTTAACACCTTTTTCCTATAGATATTTTCTTATATAAAGGCATGTTATTTCATCATTTCTTTACCGTTTCCACTTAGCTTCACTTCGTTCTCTTCACTTCAAGACTTTGAAAAAGAATTCGAAAGCCCTCAGTCTTTTCTCTTCGCTACTTTTGTCACTGTACAGTTTCTCTTTAAAAATAAATATCAAAATTATGAACAATATCAAATTACTTTTCTAGGTGTTACTAGTTGGGATTAGTGCCAGAAACGGGGCATTATCCCTTCATAGACCCTCGACCAATTTTGACAAGTTTTCTATTCTTTTGTATATGTAATATATAAAAAAACATTCACTTACTTGACATATCTAATAATTGATTTCTTAATCGATAAATATTTCAAAGATTTTCTACACAAAAACGTTTTTTCGAAATTTTCCACCTCGAAACCAAGTAGAAAAAGGTTCGAAAAAGGTTTTTCTATACTTAATCTTAACTGAAAAATCGACTGGAAATAGTCTGACGATGAAAACAAATTATTAGAGCATTTTCTGTGTTTTGGTCAGGTCCAGCTCTGGCTATTGTGGACCATTTTGATCCCGAGTTGCATCAAGCTTATCATTTTTAAACAACGTATCAGGTGCAGAATTGTTTGCTCTATTAAAATATCAAAACTTTATTATGTATTTCCGTTTAGGTGCTTAAAATATTCAGTTTTTTCCACAAAAACGTCAGTTTTTCAAAACCTCAAAATTTTAGTAAATGTTTTTTTGCGACTACTATTTTAACTTCAAAATATTTTTAAATATAAATTTTATTCAGTTTTGTGCGCTCTTTCGAATGAAATGTTTTGCAAAAAGGTCGAGCGAAAACTGAAGGTTTTATACATGAAACGCTGAAATTGGTTAATTTTCGGGTTTTTTGAGCTAAGGTCTTGGGAAAAGTTGATTTTCTCCAAAGCAAAATGACTTATAAGGCTTAAAAAAGTTTCGTCATCCCAGTTTTTCATGCTGAATCAAATGATGTAACTTTTAGCAAAATCTATTTTTCGCGATTGACTGGTGTACTCGATAGGCTCACGGAGGCTTTCTTGAACTATCAAAACACAAAATCAACCCTTGCACGAAGCTAGGATCAAACATAAGAATTGACCTGTGTAGACGAACTCCAAAAATCAACTTCTCTGTTGTTTCTTAGATTCTGCACGATGATTGAAGTTGTATAATGACTCGATATTATCCTTCAATGAATATTTTTTTGGTGTGATTTTTGTGTTTTGTGTTTGGTTTAAACTTTAATCTTGAATGAGAACGAAAATTTGTACACCTTCCATCATTGCGTAAAATCTAGGAAAGAACAGCGAAGTTGATTTTTGCAGTTTGTCTGCAAAGATCAAGTTCGTGTATTCGATCCTAGCTTCGTGCAAGGGTTGATTTTGCGTTTTGATCGTTTAATTTTAGAATGAAATATAATGAGAATTTATATTCTCCATTTTGTTTTGGTTCAAGATTGAAGCTCATATCAAATACTTAACATATATGATATTTCGAAATCATATAAAAGAAAAATTGAAATAAAATTGAAAATGAAATTATTATTGAATAAAGTACACAATATAGAAAATTATTTAATTTTATATTTAGGATATAACAACTTCAGACATTTCAATTGAATTTTCTTCAACGTTGAAATATTTTATTTTTCTTAAATAAAAAAAAAGTATTTTCAGTAAATAATAATGAGTGAAAAATAATATAAAAGAAATGTTTAGTTACTTCAGAAGTAAAATAGTACTGAAACCGTACTTTACACCACGAAAAAAAAATCAGACTATTTCTAAAAAATGCAAACTAGATGTGATCAGATAAGCACGATATAGCACATATGAGATATGTGTAAAATACAATTTATCAACAAAAGAAGCAAGGAGAAGAAGCAAACTGTTACTAAGCTATATGTAAGCGTTTTAATGTCTGGATGTTATTTGAAGGTTTTATCGCACGCAGACGATCACACCTTCCATGAAACAGATCATTTTTCATTTCTATGAAACGCTACCATTACTGTTTCTCACCATTGGAAGACTATTCTGGTCAGGTCCTAAACAATTATAATGTCGGCTAATGTACTCAAAAACAGGTCATCACTCTGCACACTACCTGTGATTGTATGATTTAAAATACTTGCTGTATTACAATCAAGGTGCTTGAAATCTTGAACGGCTTTTCGGCTTAATTTCGTTTTCCGATTCTCGGATGCAGGTCGTTTTCGAGGACGGTTGTTTTGTGGACGTAAAGATGCAGTCAGCTCCGCGTTTGGAACTAAAAGAAAAAAAGGAAATTCAAGTATCCATATCTAAGGACCTTCTACTTACCTATCCTCATCCTATTTGAAAAACATAATGTTGACCAATCAATTTTTTGCCCTTTACCAAGAACAAAAGCCAGGTAAAGATATGAATAATCAATACATGCTTGTGGCTTTTCTAAATATTTCGAAACATAGTTTGCTGCTGTTTTTTTCAGCCATCAGAACAAAAGACTTTGTTACCTCGTTTGTTGCTTGGACCGGTATTCTCATCGAACACCTCCAAGTCGGAATTTATAAAAGAATTCTCATGACCACTGATCACAGCTATTTGTATTCTACAATAGCGCACATATAAAATCTCATATTAAGTTTTTCTAAATGGATGAACTCTTACTGCACTTCGCGTTCTCTGATATTGTTTGTTGTTAGACGAATTTGAACGGGATTTTTGGGTGTCTGTTTCACTGGTTTCACAGGTGGCAAGATCAGCGTTTTAACATGCATGAAACGTTTCATTCCTTGTTTTTCAGTAACAGTATAAATTGTCAGTGTAATGTATTCTTTTTGTTCCCCATCATTATCTTTGATCAGCTCCCAATATGCATGTGGAATCTGCAAATAAATAAGAGAAAAAACAGGTGTTGTGTTGCGATTTTAAATATTACCAAAAGCGACGGACGACGAGGCGGACCAGGCGGACCGGACATAAGCCAACAAAAAGCTCCTGTGTGCAAAGTACTAAACAAGAAAAAATTTTTATCATGTCTCAAGTAATGCGAAAATACAACTTCGGTGATAATTGATTTTTTATGATGGGATAAACATCTGCTATTGTCTGGTATTTGTACTCCGAGCGAACATTATTCCTCATAACCAATTTTCCGCCTGCAAGTGCACTTAAACAATTTTTGATCTGTCATAGATTAAACAGAGTATCTGTTTACCTGATAAATCCGTTGAGAGACTCATGTTAACATCGTTAGCTTTAGCACGGTCATATTGCAACGTCTCAGGTCCACATTGAGCTATGAGCACAAGAAAAGCGTTTTATGAGAGCACCGCGTGTCTCTTACAGCTTTGCTATAAGTTACAGAAACAATACCGTAATCTGAGAATAAAAAAATTTGGTGCGAATCGGTGCTTAAAAGGTCAAATTAAAGGCTACTTTCCAACATGTTTATTCCATTCAAGGGGAGACGGATGGAAGTAAGAGGCGCTGCTACATTTAAGCGTGTTTAGATGGTTGCTTTTCTGTGAATAGGAAATCTTTTGACTCACATTGATTAAATACAGCGATGGTCGCTGTTGAAATATAATGGTGGTGCCGATCCCGGCAAGGAAAAGTACAGGCATTCAGATGTGACTGTTGATGCATAATTGTTGTCTCTTGTCGAAGACCGAAGGATGATGAACAAGTATTCAATTGATTGCAACTGTTATAAGAATGACCGACCGTTTTATTGCTGGCAGTCGAGACGCTCTTGACGGTATGATTCTCATTTGGTACGCCTATGGGGACAACAAAATGAGAGTATTGGTTTGACCACAGCACTATAATATTATATCATACCCTCATGTAAGTAAGGTCGAACGTGTTTTATGAGGTTATCTGTAATGTCGTCTAAAAAAAGTTCATGCTCATTTGTTCTTTCTTCTGCACCTAAAAACATAACACGAAAGCACACAGATTGGGTTTATTTGAATTTCATTTTTTTCAAAAACTCTTTCAGTACATACCCGTATAACGATCGTTAGCAGATGACATATTCAAAATATCGATTTCTGCTGTCTTCTCCTTATCTTCGTCTAATGACTTTTTAGAGCTGCACTTGTCTAGAAACGACAATAAAGCGTAGATTGACTATCCTTTACATGACTGATGACCAGGTTTCATGCTTTTCTTGGTTATTCAAAAACAAACCTTAAGCTCATACCTTGCAAATCATAAATAGCTACCTCATGAGCTTTACTTTCGCCCATGTCCTGCTGTTTCGTGTGCTCAGCGTAGGCCAAATTAAATGGACGAAATAGCTGGGTGCAATGAGTTCACAAATTGGTACACAATTGGGAGTAATGATAGGTCCGATAGAATTTTTTTGAATGCACCTTACGTACCTGACTTTGTTGCATATCCTTCACTTTTGAACAAATCATTATATCCTTCGTCGTTTAGCGGTAGCTGCGATTGTTGTACTGGTCCTGCTTCCGTCTCGATCATATGAAGCCAACTAGGAGAATTTGATACAGAATTAGCGGCACTTGATCTTCTAACTAACACAGTTTCTTCTAAAATTCATACCGATTCAAATGAAAAAATTTAAAAATGATTCACCTTTTTACTGGAAAGTAGATAGGTTTCGTTTTAGAAGCTAGTTTCCAAAATAGGGATGATCTCCCCTGAGAATTCTAAAACCTAATTAAAAGACATCCTTTACATTAATATCTATAGTCTCTTCGAAATTGAATACCAAGCCATAGTACTATTCTATACAAAAACCTTACCTAATGTCAAACATTCACTCTCGCTTTCATCATCAAGTGCTAATCTTTTGATTGCGTCTTCTAATCGGATCAGATCCATTTGTACGGTGTTGTTTGATGGTTTAACTTTGTTTAACAGTAGAACAAGCCGATTCATTGGTAGATGTATGTCATCTTCCTGAAAACAATGTTTAACTTTAGCTCGAAGCTGTTTCTCTGTTAAATCTGAGACCACTGGGACCACTTTGGTACTTGAATAATAATTCACTACAACGTCCCAACTCGACGGCATTTGTTCCACAAATTATTATACTATTACTAAAACTATTATTGCTGCATAGACGAATTCCTATGCACAATCTGAATCTGTTAGAGTTGTTCATTAAAATTTATATCTTTTTCAAATTTGGTTTTTTCTAAACTGCTACCTACATCAACTGTTGTTTATACACAGTCTTTTTTTTTATTTGGTTTAACTTTTTTAAAAAGAAATACTTAAGATATATATGATATTTCGAAATCATACAAAAGAGAAATTGAATTAGAATTGGTTTAAAAACAATAATTGAATTAAACAAAAGAATAAAAGAAAAAAGAAAATAGCAGTTAGATACCAAGAAAACAAAAAAAAAGAATTCTTTTAAATACGCTAGACTTTTTATTCGTATAGCGTACAAAAAACCGTGTGAATATTTTAAAATATTAAATTAAATGAATTAACATTTGTAATTGAGTTTCTACCATTCGTTTTCTAAAGAGCAAAGTGCGATTTATAATCATGGTAATCCTGTAAAAGTGGGCCTAAAAGTTTTTTTTGTTGATTCACCAAGGAAGCAACATCCTTGCCCAAAGACCTCGTTCTTTCGTTTTTTAAAACTGCTATTACCCGTTTCAAAATAGAAGACCCCATGTGTTATTTTGAGTAACGTTAAATTATAGAAATACAGATGCTTGTACTTTGAATAACTCTTTGCAATATTATTTGAAAGAGACAGGCCCATGCGACAGATCTGTAAATACCTGATGAAATACGTCTGAATTGGTTTCTGTTTTAATGGTGTTCCACTTCAAAAAGTGCTTCTTTGTCAGTTTTTCCTTCTAGATGACTTCCATTAATGCTGAAATACAGTTTCATAACGAGACTGAATTTTTCGAATTAAATTCAGATTTTACTATAACTGATCTTAAACAATCGGTGAAAAAGCTGTTTGGAATTAATATCGAGGAATATTTAATACAGATCCATGATCACCATCACAAGCAATACATTGATTTTGACAAGCGGTATTTTTATAAATTTCAACAGCAATCACAATCGTTGAAAAAACTTACTTTTCGGGTTGTTAAAAAACCCAATATCATTTCACAATGTCCAGAAGAACAAATGAAATTTATCCTTTACAAGAAAGCCATTTCTAAATGTAACTACTTTTCTTCTTCTTAGGCTGTTAAATACTGTAAGACGTATTAAATGAAGAAACAAGAAAATATTCCGGGATCCGACAAATACTAATTTTTTCTTCGTTTTAGTGTACGATTCTTGCACAGAAGGAGCACAGCCAGTCGACGTCAGAGAAGATCCAACGACGATAGAAATTCCATTTTCCAGCACCGTGCGAACATTCAGTGGATATTCGTATTAATGGGTAATGTGACGATCCTTTGTCACAACCTCTCTGTCTCGTATATACTTCTTTCGGTAGGGCTACTCTCTTTTGTTCTGTTCTGTTCTTTGTCTGTTTTTGTTCTTTCCTCGCTTTGTTCTATTTTTTGGTTTTTATCTTTTGTGCATGCAGTAGTACACATATATATTAGTGTATTTCTTGTGTGAAGTTAGTTTTTTGTAGTTTGTGATAAAGAGTAGTCGAATAAAAGAGTGATACTAC